TTTTGTAGAACTATAGAGCCAAGTGAGCTTGGAGGCTTTGGCGGGAGGGGGGGCGAAAGCCCGTTAATGGACTCTGCTGCACTTTCCAAACGGAACACAGCCCTGAAATTAGTAGGCTTGGCAGGGGCTCCTCCTCACCACCATCGCCGCCATCGCCACGGTCAGCGTCACCGCTCCCTTCAGAGCATGACAGGCTTCGCTGGGCATCCTCATTCCATGGTTCCCTCGCACACCGGGGAGTACGCTGCAGAATCCCGCCTTGGGCTGAGTCCATTCCGGTCAGAACACATGGGACACCATCTCCATCACCACCACCACCATCACCACCATCGCCAGCACGCTCCTCCTCCTTCTCACCACCACCACCACCATCATCATCACTCAGCGGCCCTTAAGCTCAGCCCTGCCCCTCAGTCTCGTCCCCACCAAGCTGTGACAGGCCAAGCTGAGGTGGCCCCCAGTCCAGCGGGAGTCGTTGGCCCGGCGCAGGCAACCATCGCCCCTTATGCACTCCCTCACCCAAGGCAAGCTCTTTCTGCGGCAGGTAGGGATTTGCTCCTGCGCCGAGACCTGACAGCCCCAGTCATGCCAGGGCTTCCTTATCACCACTCTGCTGCTCCAAGTTCTCATCATGGAATGTTTGTCTCAACAACAGGTAGCTACCCCGGACACCATGCTCACCACCACCATCTCCACCACCACCACTCAGAAGCCGGGACTCACTCTCTTTTTACTGGACTCCACCATGAGCAACCTCCCCATGAAGCTCCAGGTGGCCGTCTAAACGGACAAATAAGACTGGGGCTACCTGGAGAAATGTATGCCAGGTCTGAGCCTTTTACTCCAGTGCCCGTCTCCAGGACAGATCCTTTCGCTGCTTCCTCCTTCCACGGCTATAGTGGTATGAACCTGAACTTAGCACCACATCACGGCCCTGGGGCTTTCTTCCGCTACATGAGGCAGCCCATCAAGCAGGAGCTCATCTGCAAGTGGATCGAATTGGACCAGACTCCCAAAAAATTATGCTCTAAAACTTTCAGCACCATGCACGAGCTGGTGACTCACGTCACGGTGGAGCACGTCGGCGGGCCCGAGCAGTCCAACCACATCTGCTTCTGGGAAGAGTGTCCCCGGGAAGGGAAGCCGTTCAAGGCCAAATATAAACTGGTCAACCACATCCGCGTCCACACGGGCGAGAAGCCTTTCCCTTGCCCTTTCCCGGGATGCGGGAAAGTCTTCGCTCGCTCGGAAAATCTCAAAATCCACAAAAGGACGCACACAGGTCAGTAAGGGAAGGTGTTTCTTTATTTCGGTTCGGTTCAAATATCCGGTGTTCAGGATTTGGATTCTTCGCCCCCCCCCCGCTTTCTAATTTTAATATCCTAGGAAACCTAGAAGGATCTCAGAAATAGTTTCTGATCTTAGGTTTCAGAAAGGATAGAGATTGGATGCCTGTGCCGGGTTCGCGTGTTTTGTGAGCGCTCTGCAGAGAAGAGGTTTCCCAGAAGTGGGGGTGGGGGTGGGAGTGGAGAGTTAGAAGCTCTTTGGAGATGAAAAAGTTTCCTATCTTGGCGCAGTATCGCAAATTAAGAACCAATGGAAGCTGCAACTTGTCCGGACAGTTGCGAATGATGTCGCTGGGGTGCTGCTTCTGCGGCTTTCCTTGTGAGAAAACCACAGCTGCAAGGTACTGGGGTTTTTGTTGTTGTTGTTTTAGACATGGAGCCCTGCAATTGTCTCATCCTGGGTCATCCCGTAGCTGGAAGGGGGCGCTTTTCTACTAAAGATAAAACGGGCGTGTGTATGTGGGCACTGTTGGAACCTAGGAAAGAGAAGGGAAGAGGGAGGAGATGGTGGTGGGTTTTGGCTGTGGCGGCAGTGGTGACTGGGGCTACAGTGTATGTGTGATGAGAGAGAGCAGTCGAGTTTGGATTCCCCGCCTGTCGGTGTGCGAAGGTCATTGGGCAGAATGCTGAAGGCACTTCGCATCAGAAATGTTTGTGATTTCTACCTAGAGCAGAAAAACCGATCCACTTCGCCTCAGTCCTGTTTGCGATTAGACGGCCACCCAGGTATCCATAATGAATAAAATTCAGCGTAACAAGTTTGCGCACTCCTGGCTAGAGCTCCCGAAGTTGTACACCCGGAATTAGTTTACTGCCCAGTCTTTGTAGTTTTTATTGCCTTCTTCTCTCTGCTCCTCTAGATTCCTCGCTTTGTCTCTCTCTCTCTTTCTCTCTCCCCTTCCCTGGACGGAAGATAAGAAATAAGCCCTTTTGGACAATTAAATCCGTTCCACTATACAGTGTTTTTGCACACCACACACAGACCCTTCCTGACTGGCCTTATGCACCCCTAAGGAAAAGATTAATCCTATTGTAAGATCTTCTTACAAGCCACCGGTATTTTTTTTTTAAATTCTTCTTGCAGTTCTCAAATGTTTTTCCCATATCAGTAGCATGGTCTGGTTTCACCATTCCTCCCGCTTCATTGTATTAGGTCTTAAATCGTCCCGAAATTGGATGGTGATATGTTGTTCCTTATTTTGTTCAAAATAATAACCAGTAGCTCCAGTGACTCCGAAGGCATCTTCGTACTGAGTAGGAAACCATTAAGAAAAAAAATCATCCCTTAGTAGCCCTGCTTTTTAAAACAATTAACAAACTTTTACTGCCCTTTAGCTGTCTTTTCCTTTGAAGTTTATGATGCAGAAAATGGTCGGATTCTTGGTAAACTTAACCTATACTAGGAAAGCCAGTTGATCCCTCGAGTAGCGGGCTGGTGTGGGGTTTATTACCAAATTTTGTACCCTTTCACTTGAACTTCCTCTGTTTATTTATTTATTTTTGCAGGGGGTGACTTGGGCGGCAGGAAGAGGGAGGG